TTATAACTGGTATGCCAGATTCCACCTTTCTCTCTAGGTCCTGCTGAAAAAGTGAGGGATGTTGCAAAGTTTCTATATTAATAAAAGACGCTATAAATAATGAAATCCAGACTGACATTATGGTCATTACAGCACGGCAACATCAAATCAGGACCTCAGCTTTTAAAAAAAGAACCATGAAAACAGAAGTTCCTCACATCTACTAAACAGCTGAAGCTCTCCATTAAAAAACCCACACATATTAGCATGTGTCACACAGAGAACACGTGAATAACTGATGTATTTGTTAAACTCTGTGAGGCTGGTTGTGCTTATATGACCTGTACCGCAAAGGATTGTGGGAAACTGTAGCTATAGCTCTTCTGATGTGTCCTTACTGATGGCAGGAATTCAGATAATCCCTTTGCCATCTTTTCTTTCAACTTTCCATCTATCAATTGAGACACAGCTCTCTGTGAACAGCCAGCGTCTCACCTTCCTGTGAAGGAACTCAGTCAGGAAAACTGTCTTCTGCAAAAAAAATCAGCTCAGCAGCTCACTCCATGATTTTGTCAAATAAAACTTTTTAGTCTGATTCATTATTTCAGATTCTGTGATGTTGAATTTTAGGTTTTCATATGCTATAGAATAGAATAGAAAAACCTTTTATTGTCCCAAAATGGGGAAATAGTGTACTTTCTATACTTACGTTCTATAATAGGATAGGCAACCCCCCCCCAAAAAAAAAAAAAAAAAAAACTTAAGCCAGAATAATCAGAACAAAGAAATTCATCTAGATTTGTAGTGTGATTGAACCTTATATATATTGTCTACAAATCTGTAAGTAATCCTAGGCTTTTTACTTTCAGACCCGAGTTACTGGGAAGAATCTGTTTTTTAATGAGCTTCTGAATGAGAAGTAGCTGAAGGTTAACTCTGCAGACTTAGTCAGTAGTTACAGAAAAGGACCCTGAGATATTATTCTACCTGTGGACTTTGAGTGACTCCAGATCCTCCATCTTGCTTCTGCTCAGGTTTTATTGCTCCAGCTAAACCAGTCTGTAAAAAGCAGAAACCACAAGTTCAAAGCCCACAGAAGATAAAGTGTTTGCTTGGCAGAAAGGTGGATGGATTCTTCTGTCAGTGCAGATAATCCATTGTTGTTAGGAATCCAGTTTGTGTGGGTTGTGTTTTTGTGTCTTTCTCTTCCTCCACCACCAGGTGGTGCCCTGTTCTCGTTGGTCCTCTCGCACACCTGCGGCTGGTTGGCTCATCACTGAGGACTACTTAAACGGTGGACTGTCACTACCTCGAAGCCAGAGTGTTTGCCAGTTTTGGGTACTCTAGCTTGGATACTCTAACTGTGTTTTTTGTCTTTGCCTTTCGGCAGGAAGCCATCCTGCAAGCTGGATATTTTTGGCCTTCTTCCCCTAGAAGGATTGTTTGAGTCTCACACTGAGCAGGGGATTAACCTCCACAAGTTCTGTTCAAGACCTCCTGGATTTCAAGTTACAGTCCACTCCATAGTGCCTCAGAAACCAACCAAGTCTAAACCTGTCCACCCTCTAACGAGCTACTCCCTCTGATTAACCCACATAACACTGGATTCTGGAAAGCAGTGTGGGGTTAAGGGTCTTGCTCAGGAACCCAAAGTGCAGGCTGCGGGGATCAAAGTGGGTACTTGGACCATTCTCAGGGAACAAGGGCAATGCTCTATCCCACAAGGCAAACACTCCCCCAATTGCCCCATGTGAAGGTTGAACTTATGACCTTCATATTATGAGACTGACATGCTGCCAACGAGGCCAATTTTTGTTTAGGTTTCGAACTCGGGTCTGCCCTGGGACTACATGGGCACTAACAATTGCACCACCGAAGCACGCCATTGATAACAATGGAATGTTCTTTGAGGAGATAATGGAGATGTTAAATTTAGTGTGTTTAAATGACTAATGGGACAAGAGCTAACATTAGAAGTGGAACAGAATCAGAAATCTGTTCACAGGACCTAACTGTATCTAGTTCCTTAGCCTAAACAGCCTTGTTCAGGTTCGGTGGTCAACCTGAACAGAAAATAACCTAAAAACTGAAATGATGAAGAATGGCCTAGAAAAACAAGTGTTCTCTAAATTCTGTTTCTTAAAGGAAGAGAAGTTGCTGAGGGAGCTGGGTCAAGAAGAATCCACACAACTGTTCTACCAGAAGGAGAACCCCCCCCCCCCTACATCTTCCTATTTTCAATTTTTACTCACTATAAAAATAATAACAGGGAGAATATACAGAGAGGATTTGTTAATAAATGTCTGATTTATATGTTCAGTTAGAGTAGTTGAAATCTGGTCACCAACAGTTCAGTTATGTGACCTCATCCTTCATCAGGTGGTTCTGCTTCAACATATAAAATATTTTTTAAAAAAAGAGTGCGTGAGCTGGGAAAAAATTCCTCCTTGGTTCAAACCAAGATTTAAAATGGTGAACCTGAAAAGCAGAAAACTCAAAGGATTTCACTGAACAGTTTGATTCTGTGAAAAACAGATCATCAGGTTTTCTCCTGAATTGGGTCCTCGGATTTTAACAGAACAGCTTTAGTTCCGTTATCATATTTGGAAACTTTAACCAATGACCCAAATAAAGCATTTCCGTCAACATCATTAAACATTTAAAGGGCTAACCTGCTCGTGATGGCTCCTGGTCTCTGCACCTGTTAAGTGAATAAAAATATGTTGAGATGTTTCATTGATCTTAAGGTAAAAACAAGCAGCTTTCATCAGAGTTCCTCTCAGCACTGCTGTGTCTCTGTCAGTCAGGATGAACCCGACCCACAGACACCCGTTAGAACATGTGTGAAGCTGATAAATAGGCCTCTCTTCCTGTTATCTGTGGAGTTCCAGAGATGTTCTCTTCACTTAGCTCAGAACATCAGCAGAAAAGTCCTACAGTGACCCTAACCACACCCCACAGTGTGGGGCACCTCCACCATGCTACCAGCAGGGGGAGGTTCTGATAAAGTGTTTCATTTTGGGCTATGGTGTTGTCTGACCATGAAGTTGGTGCTGGGGACCAGAATCTTCAACCATGATGGAGAATATATCCTGAGCTCACTTTGACTCTTTGTTACTGAAGCTACTAAATGCAAACAGTATTTGCTGACCAACATGAAGGATGGAGGATCTTAACCTAATCATGAAGCTCAGCTGGTGTAAAAAACACCATCAACAGCTTCTGATGTGGACCCAGAAACCTCCACCAACCATGGATCTTCCTATGTTCTCCTCAGAAACAGGAAGTCAGGAGTTAATAGAAACATGTTAACCAACACTGTAAAGGATCAGCCCTGATCATGATACATCCTACAGCTCCAATAAGTGGGAACTCACCTGCTGCCTGGTTTTCTTGTTTCAGTCCCAGTTGTTCCACAAAGGGACGCAGCAGGTCCTGGACATCAGGGTCATTCCTTGGTATCTCCTTCATTGCTTCATTGACCAAGGAGATGGATTTATCTATGCCAAGCATCTGAATGTGTTTCTCAGGAAGCTCCTTCTTAAACTTGGCAGTGAGCCTTTTCTGTGAGGGACCTTGATTTTTCTCATAGAATTCCACCATCTTCTTATACTGCAGATCATCCAGCATCCCAAAGATCTTGGTCATGGTGCTTTTCCATTGTTCTGATATGTTTGACATCTGTGGTGCAGAGGAAAAAGAAAATGTTAAATTCTCTCAAATTTCAAGCACCTGTTATCTTAAGGCTCTTTACAGAAGTAATTAATTCAGTTACACTACAGGTTTATAGGAAAAAAAAGTGATTGCATCCAGTCATTGACTTTATAGAATTCCCTCCTCCTGGGTGAGCAGGTAGAGACAGAAGATATTAGCTTGCATCGTTGACTTTGCAGCAATCGCTCACGCTGAGCATGCATGCAGTGACAAAGATGGGTAGCTGTTATGGTGGTCATCCGAGTACCAAAGCAAAACTAACAAGTGGAGCAATATGGCGACTGCCATCCAGGGAACTTTGTTAAAATTTCTTTGAAGTTATTTCACATAGAATGGACAGAGAGAGAGAGAGAGA